GGACTGGGATGGTACCCTTTCTCTCCTACATCACTTAATACTATTTTACTTGCTTAGTTTATTATGGCTGTCACTGAAGATGGGAACATACAATGATAAAAATACCAGCAACTGAACACTCCTACCAAGTGATCATAGAGAAGACGTATCTGTCTAACCACTTGCTTCTTGGTTTGCACCAAGTCAGAGAGTGATAGCATCAACAAGGGCCCTGGAGTTGCTTCTCATGTTGATGTGTATAGGCACCAGAGTAGCACTGTCCAATACAACGTTCTGGGGAGATGGGAATGTTCCCTACCTGCACTGTCCAAAGCCAGCTGGGTACTGAGCCCCTGAGATGTGGCTAGTGCCATGGAGGAACTGAATTTTTAACTGTATTCAATTTTAGTTAATTGAAATTTACATAGCCACATGTGTTTAAGTAGTTAGTGGCTATCATATCGGGCAGTGTAGCTCTAGACACATGAGCTCATCATATCAACTAAGGAATTTTTGCCTCATTCCTTAAAGACCTAAATCTGATCTTCCCTCCAAACTCTTTTATAGTCAAATCAGAAAATATGCTGCCTCCTGCTAAGGGTTATGAAAAACATAGACACTTTCTATGTCTCTGTAGCTACAAGAAGAAGGCAAAGTGGCTTCTCAGAGAACATGGGAGTGGCTCCTTTGCAACCACCAGGGGTCACTGAATTTGGAACAGGGTCCCCAGGGGCTAGTATGAACACATTACAGGCAGCTAAGCCACAAGCAAAGAGCTAAAAAAAGAAAAGAAAAGAAATTCTGAGTGGCTTAAAAGACTATCTTGAAAAATAAAAACAGTAATAAAACCAGTGGGTGTCTTGTCAGCCTTGAGTAACCATTGCCACTAGCCAAAAGAACAGAACTAATTGCTTACTTAAAAGGAAAAGGAAAAAAGAAAACATGCGAAAACAACTAAATCTGAAAATATCTAAGGAATGTAAGCCGTTTCCACAGCCACTTCTAATCAAATAGGCTGTGTATGATATTTCCACATGACTTTCCTCTTGTCTGCCTTCTCTTCCACCCCGACTCCTCCACACTTGATGGACACACCTCCTTTCTTAAATTGAATTACTTTTGTTTGCCTATCTAATAAGGGGATAAAACATATGGCACACTTCTCTCAAAGGAGGAGAAGGGTCTCCTCTTTGTGGAATGGCAAAGTGTGGGTGCCTTTCAGGCTTGGAGGTTTGACTTGGAAGAAGCCAGCCACTCTGGGTCCATTAGCATTTGCCCTGCCCCTAACCAAGCACAGCTGTTTCCTTTCTCCTAACTGCTCCCCTCAGGGCCCGCTTTTTTTTTTTTTTGGAAGGAAGGACCACCCTGAACAGAAAGGGCTTTCTATCCTCTGCTTAGAGCCCAATACCAAGTTTTGTCAGGAGAAGGGAAATGGGAAATACAGAAAATGCTTTTTTAAAAATCATCAGAAGATAGAGGCAAGGGCTCTGAGACTAATATAATGATTTTGTTTTCCAGAGGCAGGTTCCGAGTGCCATTTTTCCAAACTTGGAGGCTCCTCCTGGAAGAGGAAAATAATTATTTTCCCTCTCAATATCGCAAGGGAGGAACAACAGTGGATTTAGCAGTTCCTTATGGCCCTAATTTTCTTTCTGCCCCCATCCATTCAGGCAAATGTTGGAAATCTGCCCACCTCAGGAGCTTGCTCTGAGAAGCCCTCCCAAACCGCGGGGTGTAATGAATCAAGTGGATTGAGGACAAAGACTAGAATTCCCAACCAGTAGCGGGGGGTCAGCTGACAGGGCATTCAGGTGAGGGTGAGAACTGGACCAGAAGGCAGGCAGAGGGGAGTCAGCAAAGGGGCAGAGCTAAGACCAGGGTCAAATGGAGAGTAACTTAAGCTCTCCCAGAACCGTCACTTGCTAATTGGTGGCCTTGCAGGCTTGGGCAGGGCTGCTTAGAGAAAATCTGCTTACAAGAATGCAAAAGAGGAGGTTGGAATTACTAGAAAGAACCTGAACGCTGAATTAAAAAAAATAAAATTAAAAAACCAACCAAACTCACTGCTGTCGAGTCGATTTGACTCATAGAGACCCCGTCTCTGAGGTGGTACCTCTACGGAGTAAAAGCTGGTAAATTCCCTGCCCTGTATAGATATAATATCTACTTTGCCTCATCCAAAGTGCCTCTGCCCAACTATCCCCTGATACAGACACCCCACAGACACAGCTACTCACGCATATAAACCAGACACACACTCAAACACACACACACTCAAACACAAACACACACACATGCATACACAAAGACACACAGGTTCACACATAAAACACATGCATATATGTATTTACACATACATATAGCTTTGGCGGTGCAGTGCCTAAGGCATTTGACAGTTAACCAGAAGATTGGTGGTTCAAACCCACCAGCTGCTCTGCGGAAGGAAGACTGGGCAATCTACTTCCGTAAAGACTTACCGCCTCGGAAACCCAAAGGGGGTTGCTGTAAGTTTTCTCAAATGCTTAAGGGGTGTACGGCCCAGGCTAGGGTATAGGAAAATCTAAGGCTAGTCAATGGTGGGCCGGAACCAACTTGTACCAGCTTGCAATTGACTCGATGGCAGTGAGTTTGGTTTGGCTTTTATACACACATATGCATATACACACAAAACTCACACAGACACACATATAAACACACACACACACACATAAATGCTATGTATATACACACTTACACATACCCCACCAACCTTCTCTAGGCTTGGATAAAAGGTGGGGGTTGGAAAAGACAACCAATTAATTGGACTAAGTCTCATAGGAGAGGAAATGAAATGAAAAATCCAGGCTGGGTTATAAAAATAAGTTTGTTTTTTTTTTTTCCCAACATGCAGGAGGCTCATTATATTAATTAAACATTATTGCAGTGAAGGAGATGGGGGAGGGTGATTAGGGCTGGGAGGAGGGTAAGTGTTCTCTCCTGTTGCCTGAGGCTGTGGTGATCCTCAGATATTAATCTCTCTGAGCACTCAAATGCTGAAGAGATGAACACTTGAAATATGAAAATGTTTTTCCCCAGAGCAGACGCTGTGACCCTCCGGGGCACAAGAACGGAGTGTGAGGAGGCTGGCCTGAGGTGCGCTCAAGTGTCTGTCCCATTGCTGTCCCCTGGGGTCGGGGACATGGCTGTCCTTGGGGTGAGGGGCAGCACAATAGCTCTTTGGAACCCTGTGGGGAGAGGGAGAGCTTTTGCTTCTTCCTTTTATTTTCTAGCCTTCTCCCTTGTGCCCTGGGAGAGTTTGAGCTACTAATTTTCAGAATTAACCCGTCCTCTCAAATCCTTAAGAGCTTGGTGGTACAGTGCCTAGGGCATTTGACTGCTAATCAGAAGACTGGTGGTTCAAACCCACCACCTGCTCCACAGAAGGAAGATGGGGGTAATTACGTACTTCTGTAAGATTTACCACCTTAGAAATCCAATGGGGGTCACTATGAGTCGGACTCTATTCGATGGCACTGGGTTTGGTGGTTTTCTCAAATGCTTAAGGGGTGTACGGCCCAGGCTAGGGTATAGGAAAATCTAAGGCTAGTCAGTGGTGGGCCGGAACCAACTTGTACCAGCTTGCAAGAGCCGACTGTTAAATATTCCAGAATTTTGCAAGCCACTTGTTAAACACAGACATTATTAAAAATTAAATTATATAAACTTATAAATAAATTATATTTAAAATTACAGGCAATAAATACTTAAAACTCATCAGTTTCTAGTAATTTTAATATAGTTCACTAGTGTCTAAGCTCCTGAGGTTATATTTGTGTCTGTATGGTGGAAAACTATATATGACTGTGTTCCTAATGACCTCATGTTGGTAGGTCACACTCAGCCACGGTAAGAGTCCTTGCATAGTGTATCCGGTTAACATGTTTGACTGCTAACTGAATTGTTGGAGGTTTGAGTCCACCCAAAGAAGCACCTTAGAAGAAAGGCCTGCCGATCTATTTCCAGAAAATTAGTCATTGAAAACACTATAGAGCACAGTTCATGGGGTCACCATGGGTTCAACTTGAGCTGACAACTGGTTAGGGGTATTTACACCACTGAAAGTGGCAAACATTACAAAACAGTCTGTCCTTGTCCCTCCCCCCAGAGTGGAGATAGACAATTTTCGTTTATACTGGTTGTTGTTGTTGTTTGCCGTCGAGTCGGCCCCGACTCATAGCGACCCCTCCTTGGGTTTCCGAGGCAGTATCACTGTGGAAGTAGGATTGCCCAACCTTCCTTCTGAGGAGTGGCTGGTGGGTTTGAATCGCCAGCCTTCTGGTGAGCAGTCAAGTGCCTTAGGCACTATGCTACCAGAGCTCCTTTATACTGGTTAGAAGGGCTAAAGGCAACCCCTCTTTATCAATCGTGCCAACAAAGGCTTCTGAAATCTGGCTCTCTGGAATCAAAAGGGTGGGCTTAATATTTCCAAGACCAGCAGCAACACTTCTCTAGAAGCCATTTGCCTGGCAGCAACGCTGGACACCCATGGGTGGGGCAACATTTCAGTGCCTTGACTTGGTTTGCTGTATAAGCAATGATACTCTCAAAGTGGTATCAATCTGATTCAAGGCCAGTGATTTCCCAGTGAGCCCTGTTGAGAATAAAACCTAGCTTGGAGCTGACAAGAGGCCCTGTGATGGTGGCAGCAAATGCTGGCAATGGGACCAAGGAGACATTGACTCGTTCCATCTCCTAGGACCTCCCAATTCTTCCTTCTTGCTTTTTCTTCTTTCTTTTCCCTTGGACTCCCTCTCTTCCTCCCAGCTCCCAGGCTATGCTGTAATCACAAGGGAGGGGTAGGAACCACCAACTAACCGTTCTGTGGGGTGACGTCTTGAGCTAAGACTGTGGTGGTTTGTGGGCAAAAAGCAGAAGATTGCTCTGTGGTGGGAAGTTATGAAGCTTGTCAGGAAATCCAGGGCTGAAAAGCATGCAACAGGCTAGCCTTAACTCTTTCATCTCTTAACTCGCAGTTGGCTTACCTGGAAATGTCCGGTCATTTGGGCTGGAGCTGCCGGTCCAAGTGCTCCTGAGCCACTTGGCATGGTCATATATCCAACCACAGGTCTCCTCAGGGAAATCAAAGTTGCAATTGAATCCTGAAGGGAGCTGCAATTCTTTGTCTGAGAGGGGGAAAAGAAAAAAGAAAAATAAATAAATAAATAACCCAAAGAAAGGCAAATGAAATGGGTTCAGAGAACAGCCACAGTGGTGCTATTTACATGGCTGGCAAAGCCTAAGTGAAGAGCAGAGAAAGAAGTGGCTCCCTTTCCTCATTCATTTAACTCATCTTGGCGATCGCTAGCTTTCGGGTCAGCCTTTGGTCTCATCCTTCCCAGGCATGAAAGCCAAATCTGCCAGTGGTTCCCATAGTAAGCAATTATAAATGAGGCCACCAAATGGTTTCAAGCTCTAATCAGCCGCTTCTGTCCACCTTGGAGAGCAGACAAATGTGAAAATCACTGTTCCCTAAAAGCCAGTGAAGAATGTCTCCCCAGTGCCTCAGTGGAAGTCTGGCTCCCAAAAAAAGTATCATCTCATCTCCTGCCAACCTGCTCTCAGAAGTGATGGGGCAGCCCATTAACATCCAGAGAGGCTGAAATGCCTGGGAGGTGCATGGCCAGGGGAGAGAAAGTGACCTCGTAAACAAGGAAGGCTTGTTTGCTACCCTTCTCCTCTTTGTGATCAATCTCCTTTCAGAAGACAGGGATAACCCGGCACCCCCATGGGTGCGAGATAGGCAATTTGGCATTATAGGGGCAAAATGAAGGGGACAGACAGCTGGCTGCCCAGCTCAGCCCTGACCAGGTGGAAAATAATCTCATGTCGCACCAAGTTCCTGAAGATTAGGGTCCCAGAAGCAGACGAGATAGCCTTCCCATGGAAATCTTTAAGAAGTGACTGACTACACACTAACTGGAGTTACTGAGTGGTGCAAATGGTTAAGTGCTCAACTATTAATGGAAAGGTTGGCAGTTCGAACCCACCCAGTGGTGCCTTGGAAGACAGGCCTGGAGCTCTGCTTCCAAATACTCACAGCCAAACACCAACCCCCTGGAGCAGATGAACCCTGACACACATGGGTCCCCATGAGTCAGAATTGACTTGATAGCAATTACTAACAATAACACATGGCTTATCCTGTTTGCTTTTTTTTTTAAACCTGTCCTGCCCAAGCCAGAAGACTGAACCCGAAGAGTTTCTTTTGAGGTTCCATCCAGCTCTAATAAGCTAGTATGAGCTGATGCTAAATATATGATTAAGTGGGGGTGGGTATGGAATTCCAGGAAAGAGAGAAAATGGGAACCCAAATCTGGATGCTTGCCTGCAGTGGTTGTGAGACAGCAGAAAAGTACTGGCTGATGCTGGTAGCTTGGAGAAGTGGGGTCTTTGGCCTTCTCACTTCCCTTCCCAGGGTTCCCAGGGAGGAATTTCCATGCAGAAGGCCTAGGACGCAGGATTAGGGAAGTCTACAGGGGACAGAAGACTGGTAGGAACAAACTGTTCACCATGAGGGAAAGGAGGGCTCACCTCTGAGGGGAAACAGCACTGCTGGCCTTAGTGGCAGGAGGCCGATTGCCACCAGGCCCTGTTTGTACTTCCCCTTCCCAACAGAAAATATTTAATGTTTGCCCACTCTTGGCCAAAGTCAGCTTTCGTCAAGAAGAAACACATGGAATCTATTACAGAAGCATCAACCTGTGGCTTGGAAACAGTCAGCCCTGAGCTCTCACCATCCCTCCTCCCTACAATTTCTGAATTTCTATTTTTCCACTCAAAAATATAGAGTAATTCAATATACCATAATTCCTTCCCAATGTTTACAGGCACAATGTATCTCAGGAACCAAATTCCACAGAAAGATCTTTTGCAAAAGGAGAAGGGAGGAACCACCAAAGAAACCTCAAACGAAAGAAACCACTATAAACACGACAATTACATTCAAAATAAACTTCTGAAATTTTGCAGCAGAACTCTTAAATTTTACTTTGGATGGTCAGTTAGATAGAAGCCCACACCCCTACCCCCAAAAAGTTAACTCTGCTAATCCAATACCATATATTAACTCCCTATGTATTCCATTTCTGGCTCTCAAACTATCTTAAACATGTCTTGAAAGATTCTCCAAGTCTCCTTCTTCTTTTCATAAAACAAAAAGAAGTTCATTAAAATGTCAGAATTCTGCATTCAGCTAACGCTGACCAATAGTATCGCCCTTGCCCCACCCACACGATACACTAAAGAACATTCCCAAAAGCATATGCATTAAATTATCATTTTTCAGTCACACAACTTCAGCATTTATTTTTGGCTTTCCTCCCGCTCTTCTCTGCAGGCACATCTTGAAGATGTCCACTCCGTCAATGCAGTGCTTCGTCCTGTCAAGTGTCTTGAGCGAGCAGGTTTGACGGGCGTCACCATTCCCCTCCTGAGCTGGTGCTACATCTTTACGTCTCTATCACTTCCCAAGTCTCTTTGCCAACCTCCCCTCATTTTCCTTAATGAACATTTAATAATTAGTAATTTACTGTCAATTGAGGCTGTCAAGCTTTACATTCAGCCAAAAATGCCAGGTGTTCCAAAATTCATGGTTTATGGGGATATCCTCACTCTTGGTGACCTTAGCAGTATGATTTAAAATGTGAGTTACTTTTGGGCTCTGCCAAGTACTGCTTTTTATCTGACTTGGATATGCTTAGAAGATAAACCAAAAGCACTACAGATTTCCCATGTGAAGAGATGGATCCCAAAACAAGGAGCCCCGTTATTCTGAAGGAGCAGCTGATGGAGCCTTTCCACATTTCTGCCTTTGTTTCTGGTCCCCACTCACCTCATTGGAGATGGGATGAATGATCTCACAAAATTGTCACTATTACGCTTTCTTAAACCAGAGGTGGTAGAAGAGACAGGGAAATGCAATGAATGGTTAATTGCTCAATTAACCTATCACGCCACATAAGGAGCTCTGGAGCTCTGGTGGTGCATTGCCTAAGATACTTGCCTGCTAACTAGGTTGGTGGTTCACAGCCACCAGCCACTCCATGGAAGGAAGATGGGGCAATCTACTTCCATAAAGATTTATCACCTTGGAAACCCAGTGGGGGTGGGTCACTGTGAGTTGGAATTGACTCAATGACAGTGGTTTTGATTTTTTGGTATTACACCACATGAACTATGATTCCAGATCTTCACTTGGCTATACCTGGAGACACAGCTTAGCAGGAAGAACTATCCTGACTTGAATCTGATGGATGAGAATGGCTTTCCTTTCATAGGGGAAGCAAGATAATAAAGGCTTAAAACACGACTTTTCAAAGGCGCTCTCTTTGCTCTCTCAGCAGCCTTATCTCAGCTGCTGATCAGTGGGTTCATATCAGAACAGCTGCAATGGTTTTTAAAGTATCTGAATCTATGGGTTGTGGTCCAGTGGTAGAGTTCTCGCCTTCCATGTGGGAGACCTGAGTTCCATTCCGGCCAAAGCACCTCAAGTGCAGCCACCCCCTGTCTGTCAGTGAGGACTGTGTGTTGTCGTTATGCGGACCAGGTTTCAGTGGTGCTTCTAGACAAAGATGGACCAGGAAGAAAGGGCTGGTGACCTGCTTTAGGAAATCAGCCACTGAAAACCTTACGGATCAAAACTGATCCTGGGGACGGCGTAGGACGGGGCAGCACGCCGTGCCATTGTGCGTGGGTGGCCATGAGGCTAAGACCAACCTGAGGACAGCTAACAATAACCACAGAGAGTTCCTTGGTGCTACAAGCGGTTGACGAGCTCAGAAGCTAACTGAAAGGTCGGTGGTTCGAGTCCATCCACAGGCACCTTGGAAGGGAGGCCTGCTTCTGAAAAATCAGCCACTGAAAATCCTATGGACCACAGTTCCACTCTGACACACACAGGGTCACCATGAGTCGAAGTCGACTTGATGATACTGGAAATCACCACTGGCCCAAGTCCCAGAGTCTCACATCTTCACATCTGCCTAACCTCTTCCTTGAGACTCCCTAGACCTCTGATCCAGACGCAAGCCAACCTTCATTCCAACTGGTCGGCACCTATGCCCTTCCAGTTGAAATATGACTCTCGCCGTACCCTTACCGTCCTCAAAGCTGCAGTTTTCCCCACACTCGGTGGCCTCCTCGTCGATGGGATATGGGGTGGTCGTTTCTTCGCTCTTTATGGTGGGTCCCAGCGTCTCTACTGTGGGCCTCGAGTCTGCATGAAAGCAAAGGAAGAGAGGTGAGTGCTGACGCAGCCAAACACTTAAGTTTTCTCTCCAAACGTGCAAGGGAAGGAGAAGCAGAAAAGGAAAATGAAGACACACACACAAACCCCTGCAGTCACCTGTGTGTGCTGTCCACGAAGCCAGGAGCTTTGTCTCAGTTGAATGGGAAGGGGCCCGAGCTGCAGAAGCAGCCAAATGCACAAGGAAAAGTTAAAGGTGTCCATAGAAAACGGGCTGAAAGATTCAGTGCTCAGTGAAGGGAGCTTCAGTTATGTGGAAACAGGTATCGGTGAATGGACCCTTGAGTGGTGCCAAGGTGCCTTCCCCAATTGCCCTGCTTTCATGGAGAAGAGACGTGCTCTGTTCCAGTCTTCTCTGAATTAGACAGAAACTTTCTGAATCAAAACTCACCCTACAAAACTTTCCAATGGACGGGTCTATCTATAATAAGACCATCAGAAGCACCATCACCAAAGCCATAAGCAAAGCCAGACACCCTTGAAGGTACAATTTGTCACTGTTGCTTGTGTTTACACAAAACTGGATGGAAAGGCCTCGAGATTTAAAGAGGCTCAGATTCCACTTTGAAAGTAATTTGGGGCTGTGCCTTTAGGTCAGGGTGTGGCAGATCCAAATGTTACTGGATCCAAACAGCTAACAGTCAGAGTAGCTGACGGGGCACTGGGAAGATAGTAAAGGTGGTAGATGGAGGTGGTGGGAGTGTGGCGTGTACATGCTTGGTTTAAAGAAGGCCACCACACATTGCTCTGACTCATGGAGGCCCGGAGAGGAGGTGGCCTAGTGGGGCCAAATACTTGGGATTTTATTTTTATTTTTTAAATTTTCTTACAAGAAGTCAAAAATCCCTTTATAAAATCTCCAGACTTATAAATGTTGGCAGTTTATTCCAAATGTTAAAATAAGTAGCATGTAACCTGATGGGGCCCAACCTTGCCTTCGGGCAGTCTGCTCTGACCTGGACTCTAGGTGAGTGAGTCATTTACCCATTCATTCACTTGTTTATTTGCTGACACTGCCACTCAGGCAGCAACCATTTAGGGAATGAAGGACCGCTGTGAGTCTGGAGTTCTGGTAACTGCTGTTCAAGTCCATGGGCTATGGGGTGGGATCTGCATCCCAGAGCTGCCTTCCAATAAGACCCTAAATAAGCCAGGCACTATTCTTTCCATTTCCATACATGCTCCCTCACCCTTTGTATGTGATTAGGTGCCTTTGTCAGGCCCCCTTCAGGATACCATTTAATAAAGCCAGGAGCTGGAGGAAATAGCTAAATACGCTGAATAGCTTTTTCACGGTCGACTTCCCATCTTTCTGCTATTAAATACTTCGCACATAACCTTTCATACTTCCCTTTTCCATGTCTGCCTCTTGCTCACAGTAAATAGCAAATAACCTCCGAGCGTCCTAATTTGTAAGTTCACATTTGTCACCGTGTCAGAAAATCTCAAACTCAATTGTAAAGCAAACTATGGGTGGCAAGGCAAGAAGTCATCATTGGAAACACAAACTAACTAACAGGTGAAGCAGCCCTGTCAAATTATTTAGCTGCAGCATCTCAGGCCAGCCCATTACTTCCCTGGCTATCCTTTTGTGGTAGGCATGAAGAAGTGAACCACGGAAGAGTCACAGAAGCTGATGGAAATTTGAAATGTAAAAAAAAGCCACATGGTCTTGGAGAACAGTTTGTGGAAATGTCAGGTAGTAAAATGGGTAAGCTGGTTGGTGGAGATGTTAAATCCAGGGGCTAGCCAGAGAGGCAATGAGAAGGCAGGGTGTGTAATGAAAGTGAGGAAGCAGCAGACAGCCTCTGTGTCCACTGTGTTTGTACTGGGCTCTCAGAACTAACTGTCCATCACACAGCAATGCTCCCCAGCAATTGAAACCAGATGTCACAGACTTCAAAGGCAAGGAGGCTAGGCAGAGGCAAGTGTGCTGCCGCAACCCTGATCTTCCCAGGAGTGGCCAGGCAGGGCTTTGAAATAAGAACCGTGCTGCTGACCATGAGTGGAACTGCGGCAGGCTGGGGGGGGGATGGGGCAATGAGGGGAAGGGGCCATGAGTCACTGTCCAGCTGGCCATAAAGCAAGGCCAGGCTGGGAGAGGACTGGCACAAAGGGGCAGAGAAAAAGAGGGAAGTATGAGGACTTGGGTCAGTCCTCACTAGCTGAGTGACCTGTGGCAAACAGCTTCCTCTCTCTGGGCCTCAGTTTCTCCATCTGTAAAAGAGCAGTTGGCCTAACTCTGTGTTTTTTCAAACTGTGTTATGTCATATTAGTAGGTTGTGAAATCAGTTTAATGGGTCATGACTAACTTAAAAATACAGATTATAATATTTTAGCTGGTACTAAGAAGGAGCTCTCATGGTGTAGTGGTTATGGCATTTGGCTGCTAAATAAAATGTTGGTGGTTCGAACCCACCAGCTGCTCCATGGTTACTTAACTAGCTAACTAACCAGTTGCCATCAATAATAACATTTTGTTGTTGCTAGTTGCCATCCTTCCAACCCTCAAAAAAAGAAAAAAAAAAAAAATCTAAACTCACTGCCATCAAGCCATTTCTGACTCATAGAGACCCCATTGGGTTTCCGAGGCTGTAAATCTTTGCAGAAGTAGATTGTTCCATCTTCTTTCTGTGGAGCAGCTGGTGGGTTTGAACTGTTGACCTTCTGGTTAGCAGTAAAGTGCCTTATCCACTACGCCACCAGAGCTTCTTCCTTCTAACACTAATATACTATTGTTATCTCCATTCTTCAGCTAAGATAACCAAGGTGCTAAGATGCTAAGTAACTTGTCTGAGGTTATGCAGCCAGTGACTGGTAGAGGTAGGACTCAAACTTGGCAGTCAGACTCCAGTCCATGCACTTAATGATATACTATATATACCTCATAAGGGGCAGTGGTGGTTCAGTGATAAAATTCTCACCTTCCATCTGGGAGACCTGGGTTTGATTCCTGGCCAATGCACCTCGAGTGCAGACCACCCACCTGTCAGTACAGATTCCACACTAAGATGGACAAGGAAGAAAGCCCTGGCAATCTACTTCTGAAAATCAACCAATGATCACAACAGTCTTATTCCATGTGCACAGGGTCACCATGACTCAGGGACCAGCTCAGTGGCAGCTAACAACACACATGAGTATGTGTGTGTGCCTGTGTGTGCATATGTAAGTAAATTGGGTTGTGACATACATTTCTTTTAAATTGTGGGTCATGATCAAAAACACTTGCAAGCCACTGGTCTAGAAGCTCCTGGGGCCCCTGCAGCTCTAATACCCTGACTCTGAGGAGGCCATAAAGGACGCCAGCTCATGGCCCTATTGGTGGGATGGTTTGAAGCACTTTGAGGGGACAGGTGATGCACTTTCAGCAGGCTGCAGAGAAACGTGGCCTCAGCCCCCTATCATGGGGCATACAGTGTCTTTCTACTAAAATGCCTTCACTAGGGCTGCCTACACTCCCAAGGTGAGAGAGGCTAATTTGGGCCTGATTCCCAGCCTGGGCTCCTCAATGGGGCTCCTTGCACAGGCTGCATTTTCTCCCTGGGAGTTAAAAGCACTTCTCTGACATGCCCTTATTAAGCCTTCGTGATGCCCTGTTGGGTGCACTAGTGACAGGTAGGGTACAGACAGGAAAATGGGGATACCTGGGGCCTTGGAGGAGAGGGGCAGGATGGCTCAGCTGCCTGCTGCTCCTGCTGGCTCCGGGCTCAGGCCCGGCGAGCAGCGGTGGGTGCCCCCAGCCCCTTTTGGCAGGCAGTGAGGGAGGACAGTTCTATAGAGGGAGGAGGGCTGGGGGCCAGAAGGAAGGCAGGGCCTAAATCAGGAGAAGGGTGGACGTGCTTAGCAGGCCGCGTCCTCATTAGGGAGAATTAGAGATGTCCCCAGCCTGTGACTGCACAGGGGCAGGAACCACCAAGGCTCCTGCCGCACGTGGGCAAGAAGTCCTATTCTTGTCAGCTCCCCCACAACAGGGTCCCTCCTGAGCAAATAAATGCCTTTTACAGATGTGGCTTCAAAATGAAAATGAAGTCTCTTAGCCACTGACATCTGGAGACCAGATTCAGACATAAACCGATTACTTTATTATCATGAGGGGTTTTTTTTCCTCCCCTAAATCAACAGCCACAGCTCTCTGGTCTGAAGAGGCAAGGTCTAATTGAATTTGGGTGGGTGGTGTGCGGTTATGATTTGTTTTTGAGAGACTTGGGTTGGAGAGCTATAGTGATCCTTTAAAACAGACACAGCACATCCCTTCAGAAGCTGTTCTGGGTCCAGAGGCTGCAGTACCCATGGCTGAGGCAGGAGAACCCAGCCAGATCAGGGCAGGCAGCTACACAGGGTTTCACCAGGGATGGCTGCCCTCTCTCAGGACATCCTGGGAAACCAGAGTCATAGACTATGTGAGTGAGGAGGAAACAGGCCTTACCTGTCCAGTCACAGCCCAGCACCTCCAGCCGCATTCCGATCCCTGCCGGCGACCACCTCTCGGGGTACACCCGCACATACTGTGCCGGAATGGGGTCAAACCTCCGGATGTCAGGGGTGTCATAGTGCATGTTCCCTTCAAATAGCTGCAGGGGAGACAGGTCACTCAGCTCTTCTCATATGCGACCTCCTTTCCTCCTCTTCCCCAACCCCCTTTTCCCGTCTCTCCCTTCTCTTCACACCCAACCAGAAGGGTGGCTGCTGATCCATGGTCACTGGAACATTATAATCCATGGGACCCATTCATGAGCTCCAATCTCAGACCCAGGTTTTTATTCACTGGGAAGGTGGTGGGGACCCAGAAACATGGAGAATAGGGAGCAGGCAAAAGTGGCAATTGCCAGGTTCTCTTTTTTATGCTGGGTCTGGAACCGAGGACTCAGGGAAATACCAGGTTCTGAGTGAGTCTTAGACTGAACTTTGCAAGAGAGAAGAGACGGGAGCTTAGACTGTTTAGAAGTCTTTGGTTACAGAAAAAGGGATGCTTCTTTGGTGCTGGAAAGTCTAGATTTAGGAAGTCTAGTTGAATGATAGTTCCAGTTGACTGAGTGCCTGAAGGGAGAATGACCAACCCTTTCTCTATGTTAATGACAATGCTCTTTGTTCACAAACACAGTCTATGAATGTGTTTCCCAATCCTTTGCTTAGTGGAGGTAATTGTCAAAAGAAATCTCACCCAGAACCTCAGTGCATTAATATGATAACGTGGAGCCACCCAAGGTGAAGCTGCGCGGGGGACGCACCCCCAGAGCACATCTTAAAACCACTGATCTAGGTGAATGGCAGGTTTAGGGGTGGCTGGGCCCCCAGGAATGCTGGAGGGTCATCCCATTTTCCAGGATGCCCCAAATTCTTAATTTCATAAAGGGGGCAGTCATAGGGCAGGCAGGCAGGCTCTGACCCCAGCTAAGACCATCTCCTTTCTCAGACCTCTGGAATGGTCAACAAGGGCCCAGGGTCAGCTCTCCCTGGGGAAGCCTGTGGCCCAACTTCTGCTGTGACCACAAGGGTTCTGGTTACCAAGCCCTGAGCCTTCCCAAGCCTCTGAAATTATGAGTGGGGAATTGACATCAGCATGACAAAGCCTTCAATCCAGTCCTTGCTTCTGCATTCAGAATAGAAACATTTCTTTAGCAAAGGTGGTTGAACACAGACACGTGATGTATCCTTCTTTTTGGGGGCCAAGCTCATCTTAGAAAAGCAAGGGGTAATTTAGGAATGAGGATAGTGAAGCCTGGCTAACCAGGAGATTAGCCAGGAGGACAGAGGGATGGTGTTCTCTCCCCATCTTGGACTCCTGGGCGTCATGTGTGGAAGCAAGCCTTCACCCCTCTGATGGCAGAGGAGTGGGTGGTACTGGCCTGAACTTCTGACCCACAGTAAGTTTATCTTGGTTCTCGCAGCCTCAGTACAAGATGCGGGGAAGATCTAAGTAGCCAAGAGTAGGAAAATGTAAAGGCATACAGCAACATCCAGAAAAATAGTTATTTTGGAAGTATACCCTTTGTTTCTATAGCCAGGCCTCCAAAAAACACATCCCCTTTGGTCGCCTGGCCAATTTCAGGGAAATTTTATTTCCAGGAGGGTATAAAGCTGGTAGAACTTTATAAACAGGTAGCAATTAACAGTGGCTAGGCACTTGGGATTTGGAATAACTGATGGTGTCTGAATCATGACTCTACCATATGCAAACTGTGTGGCTCTAAGCAAGATTGCAAGCCTCATTTTTATCATCTCTAAAATGGGGGTGACAAAAGATCTGGCTTATAGAGAGGTTTTGAGGATTGAAAGTCTAAATAAGGCATTTAGTATAATACCTGGCACAAAGTGAGCTCTCATCTGGTATTTGCTGTTTTGTTATGATTATTAAATCGTAGGGGTTTGATGATGCCTTCTAGATGGGAAATCAGCATCCCCACACCCCACTGAACCTCCTGGTCTGGAGTAAGGGTACAGACTCCTCCAGGAATGACCCACCTTTGGCTGCAAGATCCTGGAGTCCTGAATGTATTCCCAGTCTTTGCCATTTAAGCTGTAGGAGACTTTGAACTTGCGCACAAATGCCCTGGCTTCCACTGCAGTGATGCTGTCTCCTCCGCGGGCTCCCTGGATGATGACACCCTTCACTGTCTTTGGGGCTCCCAGGTCCACCTGGAGCCACTCCTCACCCGGCTGGGCCTGGGGGATCCGAGGGAACCAGCCCGAGCGGCTACTGACCAGGCGGGCTGCACTGGGGTTCCACAGGTACTCGCGGGTAGAGGAAGCAGAGATCTGGGAGTCGGCGATAAGGCCTGAGAGCATCCCCAGCATATTGGAGCAGGGGGCATCTACAGAGAAGGGAGGAAGACACAGTCATGGATGAGCCCTACTTGCTGGGACCATTCCATTAGCAGAGAGCTACTACAGATCCCGATTACCAAGCCCTTTAGAGCAATACTGCTCGCTTTGCATTCCGAGGTAGTGTGACACTGTGGTTGAGAGCACAGCCTCCAGAGTCAGACTGCCTGAGTTCATGTCCCAGTTCTGTCACTTACTAGCAGTATGACCTTGGGCAAATTATTTAATTGCTCTGTGCCTCAGTTTACCCAGGTTGGAACTAGGGGTAATAGCAACAATCTCATGGCATTATAGCAAACATTCCATCAGTTAATATGTAAAAGCACATATAATAGACCATTACCAATTCATATTTACAGCTCTAACAAGATGTCAGGGGCCCCTCAGAATGAGTGTCTGGCATATCCTTGTTGGTGACACTAGTCCCCACTAACCTTCCCAAGGATAGGGTGTACAGTGGAGGCCAGTGAGCACTGACTTACTTCCTGGATGGTCATTTGGCCAGTGAGGTCAAAGTCCTCTTGAGGGCCACTGTCACATCTTTTACTTCCACATAGGTTACCATAGCTCTTTATTGCCTCAGGTATTCCTCACGTGCTGTTCCCATTACCCACAATGCTCTTCTGACCGTTACTCCCCACAAGCTTAAGTCTAACATCCTCATAAAAAGCATCCCCAACCTTTCAACCAACAGTGAAGGAGGTCTCCTCAGTCATTGTTCTCAGAGCACCCAGGTCCTTTCCTTCAGATATTCACCTAATTTATAATTATCCAGTACTTGCATTTGTTTATTAGCTGTCTCACCCACTAGCCTGAAAGTTCCAGGACAGCAAAGACCCCACCTGCTTTGTTGGCATCTCTGTCCCCAGCTCCCAGTGTGGGGCCTCACACACAGCATGCCCTCAGTAAGTATCTATGGAGCAAAGGAGTGTGTGGGGAATGTGTGAATATATGGTGTCTGGTTGAGACAGGAGGGAATATTATTTGAGAGTAGAGGCTCTGGATCCAAACTGCCTAGATTCAAACCCTAGCTCTACCACTTGTGGGCTAAGCAACTTAGCTCTCTAAGTCTTGGTTTCCTCTTCTGTAAAGTGGAGAGAATAACAATACCTACCTCAAAATTTCCTTATAAGGATTATAAAAGATAATGCACCTTACATGCTTAGTATGGAACCTGGTACATAGTTAGCACTCAGTAAACATTAGCTAAATGCTTTTTGTTGAAGTTTTAACTAATATTTACTGAATGTTAGTGAACAAATCTGTCTTATAGGAAGTACAGGCAAAATGCTACTTAGAAGTTAGGATGGCAAGACTTCATATTCCTTACTTTGGACATGTTATCAAGGGGATCATGCTTGGTAAAACAGAGGAGCAGTGAAAAAGAAGACCTTCAAGAGAGGGATTGACACAGTGACTATAATAACAGATTCAAACACAACGATTGTGAGAAAGATGCAGGATCAGGCAATGTTTTATTCTGTTATACGTAGGATTGCTATGAGTTGGAGGGTGGGGGAGACCAAGAAATGAGCAGAGCAGTGTAGACTGTTAGGGGAGACAAACTTGTCTGTCAGTTTGTTCTACTGAGATGGCTTGAGTGTTGCTGTGAGGCTGGAGGCTATGCCACTGGTGTTTCAAATGCCAGCAGGGTTACCCATGGTGGACAGGTTTCAGGGGAGCCTCTAGACTAAGACAGACTGGGAAGAAGGAGGAGGCCATCCACTTCTCAAAGAATTGGCCAGTGAAGACCTTATGAATAGCAGTGAAACACTGTGCAATGTACTCCCAGAAGCTGAGCCCTTCAAGTCTGAAGGTACTCAAAGTATGCTGGAGAAGACCTCCCGCCTCAGAGGAGAGCTGACCTTAATGATATGCATAGAGTGAAGCTCTGAGGATCCCCATTTGCTGATGTGGTACATCTCAAGATAAGAAGAAACAGCTGCAAACATCCATTAATAATCGGAACATCGAAGGAACAAAGTATGAATCTAGGAAAACTGGAAGTTGTCAAAAAATGAAATGGAACAAATAAAGATCAATATCCTAGGCATTAATGAGGTGAAATGGACTGGTTTTGGCCATTCTCCATCAGACAAGCATATGATCTACTATGCTGGGAATGATAAATTGAAGAGGAATGGTGTGGCATTCATCATCACAAAGACTGTTTCAAGATCTGTCCTGAAGTACAACATTGTCAGTGATAGGATAATATCCATATGCCTACAAGGAAGACCAGTTAATATACTGCTATTGTTCAAATTTATGCACCAAGCACCAATGCCAAAGATGAAGAAATTGAAGACTTTTACCAATTTCTGCAGTCTGAAATTGACCTAACATACAATCAAGATGTGTTAATTATCACTGATGATTGGAATACAAAAGTTGGAAACAAAGAAGAATCACCGGTAGTTGGAAAATATGGACTTGGTGGTAAAAATGTTGCTGGAGATCACATGATAGAATTTTGTAAGACCAATGAGTGATTCACTGCAAATATCTTTTTCAACAACACAAAAGGTGGCTATACACGTGGACTTCACCAGATGGAGTACACAGGGATCAGATTGACTACATCGGTGGCAAGAGGTGATGAAGAAGCCCAATATCTTCAGCCAAAACAAGGCCAGGAGCTGGCTGTGAAATAGGCCATCAATTGCTCATATGCAAGTTCACATTGAAGCTGAAGACAATTAAACCAAGTCCACAAGAGCCAAAATATGACCTTGATTATACTCCTGTTGAATTTAGAGACCATCTAAAGAATAAATTTGATGTATTGAACATCACTGACTGAAAACCAGAGGAACTGTGGGATGACATCAAGAATATCATCCATGAAGAAAGCAAAAGGTCATTAAAAAGACAGGAAATGAACAACAGACCAAAATGGATGTCAGAAGAGACTCTGAAACTTGCCCTTGAATGGAGAGTAGCTAACGCGGATGGAAGAATCGACAGGATAAAAGAGCTGAACAGAAGATTTCAAAGAGCAGCCTGAGAAGACAAAGTCAATTATTATAATGAAATGTGCAAAGATCTGAGTTGGAAAACCAGAAGGGAAGAACACATCCTGCATTTCTCAAGCTGAAGGACTGAAGAAAAAATTCAATGCTTGAATTGCAATATTGAAAGATTCCATGGGCCATATGTTGAATGATGCAGGAAACATCAAAAGAAGATGGATGGAATACACAGAGTCATTATACCAAAAAGAAATGATAGATGATTATCCATTTCAGGAGGTGGGATATGATTAAGAACCAATGGTATTGAATGAAGAAGTTGAAGCTGCACTGAAGGAATTGGCCAAAAAAAAAGGCTCCAAGAATTGATGGATACCCATTGAGATGTTTCAACGAATGGATGCTCTCACTGGAGGCACTAACTCATCTATGCCAAGAGATTTGGAAGACAGCTACCTGGCCAACTGACTGGAAGAGATCCATATCTGTACCCATTCCAAAGAAAGGTGATCCTACAGAATGTGGAAATTATCGAACAATATCATTAATATCACATGCAAGTAAAATCTTACTGAAGATAATTAAAAAATGGTTGCAGCAGTTTATTGACAGAGAACTTCCAGATTCAGAAGGGGATGTAGTGTGAGAGATATCATAGCTAATGTCAGACGGATTTTGTCTCAAAGCAAAAAATACCAGAAAGATGTTTACTTGTGTTTTATTGACTATACAAAAACATTTGATTGTGTGGATCATAACAAATTCTGGATAACATTGAGAAGAATGAAAATTCCAGAACACTTAACTGTACTCATGAGGAACCTGCACATAGACCAGGAGGCTGTCATTCAAACAGAACAAGGGGACACTGCATGGTTTAAAATTAGGAAGGGAGTGTGTCAAGGTTGTATTCTTTCACCATACTTATTCAATCTGTATGCTGAGCAAATAATCCAAGAAGCTGAACTATATGAAGAAGAATGTGAACTTACTGATGAAAATTAAAGAGTGCAGTTTGCAGTATGGATTACACCTCAATATAATGAAAACAAAAATCTTCACAACTGGACCAATAAGCAGTATCATGATGGAAGGAGAAAAGATTGAAGTTGTCAAAGACTTCATATTCCTTGGTTCTACAATCAACACCAATGGAAGCAGCAGTCAAGACATCAAAAGACGAATTGTATTGGGCAAATCTGTTGCAAAAGACCTCTTTCAACTGCTGAAGAGCAAAGATGTCTCCTTGAGGATTAAGATGCGTCATGGTATTTTCAATCACCTCATATGTGTGTGAGAGCTGGACAATGAATAAGGAACACCCAAGAAGAGTTGCTGCTTTTGTGGTGTTAGAGAAGAATGCTGAAAGTACTGCCAAAAGAACTAACAAATCTGTCCTGGAAGAAGTGCAGCCAGAATGCTCCTTAGAAGCAAGAAAGGCCAGACTTCGTCTCACCAACTTTGATCATGTTGTCAGAAGAGACCATTCTCTGGAGAAGGACGTCATGCTTGGTAAAGTGGTGGGTCAACGAAAAAGGGGAAGGCCTTCAATAAGATGGATTGACACAGTGGCTGCAGTGATGGGCTCAGGTATAGTAGTGATTGTGAAGTTGGCACAGGATTGGGCAGTGTTTCGTTCTGCTGTACACTGTGTCGCTATGAGTCGGAGATGACTTGATGGAACCTAACAACAACATGAGTCAGAGCTGACTGGATGACATTTAACAACAACAAATGTTACCTTGTAGAAACAGTAATGGCTTAATACATACATTGTCCATCTATACACACCAGCATGCATAATGAATGAATGAAAAAACAAACTCTGGTAGGACTTGATTAATTGGGCCAATCCTTCTGAAAAGCTCGATTTTCAGTTATGCTGATTGCAAATGGCTTGAAACAGGGAGCAGAGCTTGGGACCCAATTAGCAACTCAACTCATTAGAGCCCCCACCTCACCTGTGACACGGCAGCCGAAGAGCTCCAACCGGAGGGCAACACCCGAGTGCCAGGTCTGAGGCCGGATCCTAATGAACCTTGTCAGCAGCGGCGTGTGGAGCTTGTTCAGAACCACCTCGGTGGCATCATTGTTGGCTTGGAATACCTATAACATGAGATGAGAATCCACCTTACTGAAATCCCTGTTCGTAGTTTCATCACCAGAGCTGTCTTCTCTGTCTGAAGTGGGTAGGAAAGTTCTATTGAATTGTATTTCCCTCAAGTTTAAAAATAATCAGTGAGTTTGTTGTTGTGGGCTTTCTTTGAAATACCATGGGAAAAAAAAAATAATTTCTCACACTGTTCTAACTTGGAAACAATAAATGGTTTTCACACAAACTTTTGGAGGGAAGGAAAATGTTGCCTTTGGGCTGAGAGCAAGCAGAGGAAGGAGGCTCGAAAAGAAAAACACTTCAGAAGTGAAGATGAAAAAAAGAGAGAGAATAAATTATCCTTTAAAAACAGAGAGGAAATGTTCATCCTTGAGGGGTAGCCATCCTTACTCAGTAGTTTGAACTTGACACACCCTCTTCCTTATGTTGTAGTCAGAAAGGAATATTTGCAGGAAATTTTATAATTGTAAAGTGCTTCATAATTGTTTCTGCTAGTTACTTAAAGGCCTCTCTATTCTGTGACTGGGTGAGGGGCACAATCTGCCCCCAGTGCCCCTGTGTCAATCAACACTTTCACGGTTCCCTCTGGTCTTTGTTGTAGAGTCAGGGTTGCAGACCGGCCCTTGGAGTCCTGCTCTGGCTTCCTCTAGCTTTAGTCCCCACCCAGTAATGAAATCCATCCCTGTCCCCATCTGACCAATACATCTCTTATGGGATGAAGGGCTTTTCGAAGTAGCTCCTGACCCAACATGGTAGGAACAAGTCCCAGCTTACCAGATGGCTCGAATCAATAACCACCATATGGAACTTATGCTTTTTTGTGCTGTCCATTAAAAGTAAGTATGTGTGGATTAAGTAGATGTGGGATGCTCTTGGTACTCTGGATAAAGATGGAGGGAAAATCAACCAACTAACCAATCAACACTTCTAAACCATACCTGTCATACCTACAACAACCACATTACTCAAAGCTCACTGCAACAACCAACAGCCCCTGGGTAGGCAAAGTCAATACCTCACTTTATGATACCCAGAACATGCTTGGTGTTTGGGGCACTGACAGGGCCAGGACAAGAGGAATAAGGAAACTGGCATATTTGAATACCTTTGAGCCAGACACTGTGCAGACAAAATTATCTCTACAGCACCCTGAAAGGTATTATTATCTCCATTTTATTGATGGGAAAACTGAGACTCAAAGATGTCTGTGTGGATCCAAAGCCCTTGCCATATTTGTAGGCTTTGAGCTTGCAGTTGCTGAGGTTGACCCTCATCTCTTTTAATAAATTTACAGTGTTTTTACTGATGGCTAGGAGCTCTGGTGGGGTAGTGCCTAAGGCATTTGACTGCTAACCAGAAGACTGGTGGTTCAAACCCACCAGCCACTCCATGGAAGGAAGATTGGGAAATCTGCTTCCATAGATTGGGAAATCTACTGCCTCAGAAACCCAAAGGGGGTCACTATGAGTCAGAATCAACTCAATGGCAGTGAGGTTTTTTTTTTTTTTTAGGACTCATGGAGCTCCTAAAGTCTCCGAGCATGAACTGCAAGCAACTCTCAGTTGCTGTCTGGTGATATCTTCCCAGTCTCAATTTATAATCCCACCTTAGAATGGCTTTGGGTAATAGCAAAGAGCAGGATAAGATGCTTAGAGCCAAATTAACAACATAGTCCTTTCTTCTCCACGGACTGCAACGAGGCACTCCACCATTTGGCAACCTTGAACTCTCCATAGTTCCCTAAGGTTAAAAGTTAGGGCCATTTAATGACAGACCACATTTAATGATTTGACCTTTTACTGTCAAATGAGGGGACGCAGCTTGCTCAAGACAAATAGAGGAGAGGAGAGAAGGCAACAGGTGTTCACTAGCCCACCATATTCAGTTTAAACCCCTTGTTCGTGATGCTAACTAAGCCCCCTGAATCTGGGGTCTTCTACCCAGCTCACCCAGCTTGCTGCCCCCTCTCCTTTCCTGGAGAGCCCTCTTGTCCTGGTCCTAAGCTGTTGGTTTCCTTCTCTGCTGCCTTGCTGACCACAGGGAGGAGGACAGGGGAGAACCGGTTGAGTACATTTCTCTCTCAGGTTCTATTTGCTGTCTTCTGCATTGTGATTGAGGACAAGGAGGGGCAAGGAGGTAAGGCAATTAGGAAGGAAGTGGGGCCCAAGGAATGAAGCCCATGTGTGGCACAAATGGTTAAGTGCTCAAATATTAGCCAAAAGGTTGGCAGATCTAACCCAACCAGAGGTGCCTCAGAAGACAGGCCTGGCAATCTGCTCCTGAAAATCCTGCACACATGGGCCTGCCAGGAATCGGAATCGTGGCAACTAACAACAGCAACAGGGCTCAGGGATACAGAAAGAAAGAGTCAGTGGAGGCTGGGGGAGGGCCTAAGGGGAGGAGCGCTCAGCTCTTTGTGAATTCTTAATCACAGAGAAAGATGATCAGAGAGGAGGAAGCAGGGCCCAGGAAAGCTCTGGCCTCACCATCCCCATCCCTGGGCCTCCCCGGGGCTGCCAAGAGGCTCTACAGCTCTGAGGAAAGGGAAGGAAGAACTGAATCCAAGGACAAAAGATGAATCAGTTCTCCCAGAATTCAACACAAGGCAGAGGTTTTCCATTTGTTTTTGTTTTGCTTTCTTTTGGCAGGGAAGAAACAAATGTAGCCCTTTGCTTACTTAGGGTGGGTGCTGTGAGCAGCAGGGGCCATCCCTGGGCTGCTCCTGTCTGGGGAAGGTGATTGTGACTGTGTGTGGCCTCTGTCATGAGGTACTAAGAAACTCATTCATATGGGGTAGGGGGACTTTATTTGCCACTTGAATACATAATGGAACTTTTGAGAGGATTTGAACTTTACCACAGCTGCTAATCCACAGCACACACACCACGCTGGTACCGTTTAGAAACACAGCACGTTTGATGTGTTTTTAATATCCAGTTTTATCTTATCTGACCCCTTCATTTCTCAGCCTTGGCAGACAACACCAAGAACTCTTTTCTTTTCCCCTTCAGTAAGGAAATGATTGCTTCCTTGAACTACCTTGGGGAATGCTGGTGTGTGCGTGAGTGTGTTTGCATGTGGGCATGTGGGTGCACATGCTTGTGTGTACGTGCCTGGGGAGGTGTTGGAGTCCTTGTGGACACAGGCTTTGGGTGACTCTTCTTGGCCTCAGCCTGCAGAGGTACCAGGCAGAAAGGGAGACCCGCACAAGGATCATCAGCCTACACAGACTACCTGCTGCCCAAATTGAAGTTGAGTCTACCGTTCCACCTTGCCTGTAGACTCCCACACCTGGAACCAACTGGAGGCCCTTTACAACTTAGCTTCAAATTATTCTTCATGTTTCTCAGACTAGTTCCTTCCTCGTTTCTGCTTTGCTCTTGACCTCGTGTTCGAATCTGCCCTTTGTTCTCTGGGCCCTTGGCTGAAGGAACACAATCTTACTCTATTAAACCTATGAAACACCTCTTACTATGGGTGGGGCACACTTGGTGGGAGGGGGCAGAAAAACAAAACACAAAACTACCAATGAACAAGGAGCCAGGAGACAGCTTCCGCTGATTAGCTTCTAAGTGTGGGCAAATATTTCTACCTCCCCCGGTCCCCAATTTACAACTCTGCTAAATGAAGGGGTTGCAGAGTTGATTTCTAAGGTCCTTTCCACCCCCCAGATTCTAAAGCTCTCTTCACAAGGGCTTTCAGATCTAGTTTGCAGTTCAAACTACCTCAAGAGTGTCCACTTTGTAACAGGGTCATTAGAGTTACACATTGTCCCTTATAGGCTAAGTGCTTTTATGGACAAGTGCTGTGGATTTTTACAAATATATACTTCAAATAGTGCCCACAACACTCAGTGAGTGCTCCACTCAGAGGATGGATACACCTGGTTGATATGTCGGTCCAGTAACAGTTCAAATTATTAATAACAAAGAGTAATGAATAACACCACCTTGGTCCTTACATATTGTCTTTCGCCCAAATATATCAAAGTACAATTTATGAAAATCCATTTTTAATGAAATATTAAGCAGTTTCTATTTCTCCTGACCCAGTGGATTTATTTCTCCTGACCCAAGGTCTCTATTTTTCTCTCTGCATTTCCCTATTTATAGTTGGTAAATGCTATCATATATTATACATCTTTATGACTTTCTCAATGCTTCTGTGGTTTCAGAATCACCCTTCATATGTTTTCTGATCAAATTCCCTGAGATGGATTCTTGGCTTCCAGTCTAGGCATCACAAGGTAAAGGGCTGTGTGCATGGGAAGTGATGCCAGGAAATTGGTTTTATTCCTTATTCCCTGCTGACTCACTGAATCACTATAGGCAAATCAATAAACCTTAGATACCTTGGTTTCTCCTTCAGAAAATAAAGTCGATAACAGGCTTGCAGATAGACACTAAAGTTTACCCGCCCTCTCTGCTGGCTCCAACGCCTGCACAGACCCAGGACAGACGTTACAGTGAAAGCTAAGCCACAAATAACGAATGAGCCTTTGGACCCCTGGCAGAGTTCAAGTTCTGAAAGCCATTGGCTCCAAAGCCCAACCTTGACACCAGAAAACTTTTACTCCATAACTTTGCAGAAAGATGTCAATGGTGAGAAAGAACAGTGGGTTGTCAGTGTATGTTATACCCAGATAGACATGTATCAAACATAATGATCAAACTTTAACATCTGCTTTGAAAACTGGATGTCATAGAGGATATACATTTTTATTAATTTTAAAAGGAAAGTCCTAAAATGGTTTGCTTTGCCACCCAAAGGAAAACCAAGTGCACGTTTAAGGTGACCCTAGCTTTCTTAGAAGGTGGGGATAGTGTTGGCTCTGTTGTAATTCTTGAAGGCGGGGGGGGGGAATATATATATATATATATATATACATTTATGATTTTAAAAAAAGAAGCTGTGTTCAACACAAAGATATCTTTAAGTGCATCTCTGTAAAAAAGAGTTTAAAAAATGATTCAGGCCACACAGTGGTTTGGAT